ATTGGGTGAAGGTGGGCTGCTGGGTGATGTTGGAGAAGTAGGCAGGGGGTCCGCGGATGGGCTGTGGTGTGTTGGGTCTGGCCGCGGCCTAGACCTGATCAAGCATGGCCCGACCCGATTTTGGGCAAAAAAAATTCGGCCCAAAATCGAGTTTGGCCCGGCGCGACCCCATTTTTTTTTTTGTGGGGGCGGGTTTGGGAATGTGTTTTATGCATATTTAGTTGATTTTTTAGGCCTGGCCCGAAAATGGCCCGCACGGCCCGACCATTTTGGGCGGGTTTGGGCACAAAAATTCCGGCCCGAAGCTTGGCCCAGCCCGAGAAGTGGGCATAATTTTTTAGCTTTGGCCCGGCCCGGCCCGCCCAATGATCACCTCTACCGCGGTCCATCTGCGGTGTGGAATGTGTATTGTGGGGAATAGTAGGAGTGTTAGGCGGGTTTGTTTGAGGAGCTGGGCTTGTTGGGGTAGGTGTGGGCTGCGTGTGTAGGTTAGTGTGGGATTGATGTTGCAAGAACATGGGTAAAAATTAGAAGAGTTATTTGTCTCTAAATAATCGTAATCATTTTCCCTAGATTGCTGAAGATTAGAGAAAGAAAAGCGGTCTTCAACAAAAATCACATGACGAGAAATAATTATTTTATTGGAAGAAAGACCATAGCACAAATAACCTCTATGATTAGATGGAAATCCCAAGAAAACACACAGTGTAGACCTAGGGGCAAGCTTATGGAGTGTCGTGGCACTTGAGTTTGGGTAGCATAAGCAACCGAATATACGAAGATGATCATAGGTAGGAGTCTACGAAAAAGAATTTCGGTTGGATTGTGATTTTGTATGGTTGTTGATGGAAGAATGTTTAGAATGTAAGCAACCATATGTATCGCATAGACCCAAAACGAGGGAGGAAGAGAGGCATGGAAAAGGATAGTACGAGATATGTTATTTATTGTGCGTATAATTATTTCGGCTTTGCTATTTTGAGAGGATGTGTTTGGGCAAGAAAAGCGAAAAATCATGCCATTATTTGCACAAAATTTGTGAAATGGGTAATTATTAAATTCACGACCATTGTCACTTTGAAAGGTTTTGATGTCCCTTTCAAATTAGTTTTAACATATGCTCGGAAATTAAGCAAAATATCATAGCCTTGAGATTTATATTGAATAGGAAACCTCCAAAGAAAATGAGAGAAACCATCAAGTAACACAAGATAATATTTGTGACCCAATTTGCTAGAAATAGGAGATGTCCATAAATCCATATGAATAATGCCAAAGGGGGCAAAAGTAACAGAAGTAGATGACTTGAAAGGAAGTCATACATGTTTTCCCAATGGACAAGAATAGCAAAAATGAGAACTATTTCTCTTATTACAATGAATTAAATTTTTGTTTCTAAGAAGATCAAAAACTGGTTAGCCAGGGTGTCCAAGTCTATGATGCTAAACAGAAGGAGAAATTGCAGCTAGAGATAGATGACTATTGCCATATTAAGCTGAAGAAGTTGAGAATGGATAGAAGTCCCCTACACTATTACCGAGCTAGAGTTGTCCCCGAATGAAGGTCCTTCACAGAAAAACTGAGAGGGTTAAACTCGACAGAAACTGAATTGTCACAAGCAAATTTTCTAACATATATTAAGTTTTTAATAATGTTAGGAACATATAGGACATTCTTAAGGTGGAAAGGTGGATTAGGTGAGGGGGTAGTGGTTGTGCCATAACCATGAATAGGAATACGTTTGCAATCACCAACAAAAATATATTGAGGAATGCCAAAATTAAACAGTTTAGAAAAATTACCCGAATCTCGAGTCATATGAGAGGTCGCCCCTGTGTCCATATACCACCTGTTTTCGGGAGGTTCAAGACTCATCGAACTGTAAGCTTGACCCAAATCAGTAGGGGACATAGGTAGGCCGTAACCGGGTGGAGCCAGTCCAGCGTAGTATGCATGATTTTGGGCGGAGCATGGGCCCAAAATCGATTGCTGCCCATGGAATGCAAACTGAGGAGCTGGGCCAGTGGGAAATGGGCATGGCGGAGAGGCCCATTGATCTTGCTACTGGGGCGCCCAACTTTGCTGACTTCCTCATTAAGGGGCCTGCTGGGCCTGATTGCTATTGGGCCTAGTAGCTTGTTGTTGCTGATTATTGTTGTTGTTGTTTCCGTGACCTTTCCCACGACCCTTCCCCTAAAATTGCTGCCACGGCCTTTGCCCCGACCCCGACCACCACCTCCCTGCTGCATCTGTCGCCGGGAGATGTGAGGCCTGAGAAGCGATTAACGAGGCTGGAGCTTGAGAGTGTTGGGCAAGAGAGCATGCTGGCCAGATTCGTCTTGCACTACTAGAAAACAGCCAATCAACGACGGAAAAAATCCGTCGGAAAACCCTGAAATTCTGTCGGAAAGCGTTGTCGGAAGACCCTTTGTAGGTATTTTGTGATATTCCGTCGGAAGAGACCTTTCCGACGGATTTTGTTCTGTCGGAGTCAAGTTTGACTTAATTGTGAAGTCCGTCGTAACATTCCGACGGTCTGAATTCCGTCGGAACCTACAACCTTTCGTCGGAAACCACTATGCTTCCGACGGAATATTCCGTCAGAAAGTTTAATAAAAAAAATAAAAAAAAAACAGCCCCCCTACCCACTTCCCACACCCACCACCCCTAACCCACTGCCACCCCCTAACCCACCACCCACCACTACCCACATTAACCAACCCCCACCACCGTAACCCACCCACACCCTTAACCCCACCCACACCCTTAACCCCAACCCAACCCCCACCACTGTAACCCATCCACACCCTTAACCCCACCCACACCCTTAACCCCAACCTAACCCACCCCACCACCGTAACCCCACCAAACACCCTTAACCCACCCCCTAACCCACCACGACCATCCTAACCTAGATTCACGCCACTAACAACCACGCCACCAAACCCATGAAACCACCCACAACCCTAACTAACCCTAGCCCACGCCACCAAACCCCACGAAACCACCCTAAAATTCCCACCTCGCCACCCACCACTAGCCCACACGTTATACACACACACTACAACTAATAGGCTCAAAAATTTCAAAAAAAAATAAAAAAAACTCAGAAAACCGAAAAATTAAAAAATAAACATACCTTGAATTGAAGAGGGCTTCGAATTTCACCATGAAAACGGTTTAACAAGGCCAAATTCGGCCATAAAAAGTCTAGATCTAGACTTTTATTGGTCGAATTTGGCCTAATTAACCTTTAAAATAATCAAAATCGACGAATTTGGCCATGAAAATGCTCCGTTGTGTCGAAGAGAAGAAAAAGGAAGAGGAAGGACGAAAGAAAAGGAAGGACGAAGGAGAAGGAAGGACAAGGAGAAGGAAGGAGAAGAGGAAAGAGGAGAGGAGAGAGAAAGATCGAAAAGAAAGATGAAGGAGGAGGAGATAGAATGAAGGAGGAAGAGAAGAGGAGAGGAGAAAAAAGAAAAAAAGAGGCGGATGAGAGGAGAGAGAAAAATAAGGGTTTCCGGGTTTTGTAGGTTTTTTTTTTTTCAAAATTCCGTCGGAAGGGTAAAATTCCGTCGGAAATTTCCTACGGATTTAAACTCCGTAGGAAATTAATATGTTCCGACGAATTAATTTTCCGTTGAAATTTACAGCCTCCGACGGAAAATTCCGTCGGAAGCAGTAAATTCCGAGGGAAAAAAATCCGTCGGAATATTTTCGAGGGATTTTCCGTCGCAACATATATTTTCCGATGGACTTTTCTGACAGACCGAAATTCCGTCGAAAAATTCGAATTTTCCGACGGAATATAAGTCTGTCGGAACGATTCCGTCGGAAATAGGCCTATTTCTAGTAGTGTTGTTTATTTTGGCGAGTTTCCTCCAAAATGAACATTGACCGTGCTTTATTAAAGCTTGGGGTTGGTTCGAATTGAGAAACAATGGCAGCCATGGTATGGTATTCTCCCTAGGTGAAACCCGCAATGAGTTGCATAACCATCTTACGATCGGACACCGGGCAATCAACATTAGCAAGTTGATCTGTTTAGAGTCAATGTGGTTTAGAAAATTGAAAGCACATACTGTAATTTGAAAGAGTTCAACCCACGTTGCGTATTGTCCTTCCTCATTATCAACACTGACGCACACGTGATTTTTGATGTTTGAAACGAAAAAAGCCAGATGGAAGTTAGGTATGTTTGGGGGGGGGGAGGAGGAGGAGGAGGAGGGGGTACCTCGTCATCACCGGCCATGGTACGGATTGAAGGAGGTGATGTATGGTGGTTGTTGGTGGAAAACGACTAGAGTAAGGATCGAGTAGGGTTTGGCAAAAGAGAGAGAAGAGAAGAAAACCCTAGGTGGAATCTGAAACCATGTAGAATTGTGTAAATTCTCCTTAGTCGGAGTATTCTCATTAACTTGGATATATATAGGTGAGTACAAACCTAATTACGAGAATACAATATTTACTAAATTACACTTAGATATATCTTTACTAAATATTAACAAGATAATAGTAACCTATAATCTATCAAATTTATTCTTAACCTATTTATCATATATATCTCTAGATCTCTACTACTTATAAAGCAAAGGGGTGAAAACTTTTAATTCTTTAACAAGAGAGGTAAAAGCCAAATACGATTTAATAGATTAGATGACTATATACCTACAATGCTCAATATTGGAAAATCCTAGATGTCTAGCTAATAATCAAGGATGCTAAGCATGAGGTTGGCTTTATAGCTCCACATAGATGGTTGCTATCCATCCATCCATCCGAAGCTAGACAACACCAATGTTTCCTCCTCAATGTCTTCTTTGCACACAATTGTGGTAACAATGATGGTCAATATGCACAAGAGTGTAGAAGTATGATTGAACAACTCAATGTTTTCCTATCCTATAAGTAGAATAACCCTTATCCAAACTTATACTTCCTCCGTTTCATATTATGTGCAACAATTTCCAAAAAAAGAAGTTACACATTATGTGCAACAAAGTAAATATTTCCATTTGTGGTAAATTTTTTGTGTAAAATAACCAATCCACCCTTACTTAATTTCAATAACCTACCTTAAATGAGTAAGATTATATGTTATTAACATATTAACCTACATTAATTCATTCATGATTTAAACCCTAATCTCAATCTCTCTACTCCCTCACAACCACATCCACCACCAACATCACCAAATTTTCTCTCACCTCCCTCTTAGCCACCACCACCCCACCACTATTTTTCTCACTCTTCTCTCATAGCCACGACCTAGCCCGAAATCCCCCACCAAGCCGGCCACCCCCCAACCCCGAATCCACCTAAGCACCACCTCACTCCGCCCGAAATTCCAAGAAATCCTCCAGCCACCACGAACCTTGTTATTGCTTCTCTTTCTTCTCTTTTCTCTCACAACCACCACTAATCGATTCACCGGTCTCCTTTTCCCTTGTCAAAGTCGTCGCCGGCTCCTTTTCCCCTTGTTATAGCCGTCAGTTCTCCTCAAAATTAAAATCCTAAAAATTGATTTGGGTTTGTAGTGGTTGTGAGCTGGGCGAGGTTGGTTTTGGGTGGTTATGGACGGGTTTCAAATCTTGGTTGTGGTGATTGGGTTACGGTTGCGGTGTTGGTACGATTTGGCTGGGGTGAGTTTTGGGTGATTGGGTTATGGTTGCGGTGCTGGTGCGATCTGGCTGGTGGGGTTTCGAGTCATGATGGTGGTGAGAGGGTGGTTACGAGATAGGGTGGTGGTGGTGGTTTCAAGGAGTGCGGTGGATGTGGGTGGTGGTGGATGTTGATGCTGGTGGGGTGGCGTCAGAGATAGGCCATGACAGTTGGTAGTGGTGGTTGATTAATTTTCCCCCTTTCTCTCTCCTACCCTTAATCACAAACCCTTCACTTTGTTAATCAACCATAAACAAATTTTGTCTTTAAAAACGTGCAACAAGGTTTGTTGCACATAACGCGAAACGTAGCACATAATGTGAAACGTAGGAAGTACAATGAAGGAATTAGAAATCATTCATAATTATCATACAAGAGCACAAATGTTCAAAATCCTCCACCACAACAACAAACGTAGGAGTATACTATTGCATTACCGGAAGAGTTCTACTTCCTTACCCTTCTTTTGCAAAACATGATACATTATTTGAATATTAGATGATAAATTATTGTATTATACTATTGTATTTATTTTTGAAAAAGCTTTTCCAATTCTCCATTTCCTTCATTTTTTTCAATTTTCATTGTTTGTTTCATTAGACGGTGAAAAACAATTTTCTCATTTTAAGATAAGGAATTTTATTAGGAAAGTATGTCACAATTTCCTTTATACTTCTCACTCATTCCATCCCCGCTTCTCTAATTTCTCTCCTCTATCTTTTCCTCTCATTTTTTTTTTCCAATGTATAAGTTTTTCTATAATCAAACACTCAAAGGAAAAGCCTTTTTCATGATTAATTTTCCTTAAAAATGATTTTCAATAGAAAATGATTTTTCATAAAAGATAATTCTCATCAAAACTAGTGTTAAGCAAAACTATCCAAAAATCTGAACATCAGATTTGATACTTTAGAAAATCCGATCCCATACTATTTTTATGATTTTGAATATCAGAAAATGAATCCAATCTAAATATCCAAAACTTTAGGTGTTATTTTTATATTTTATTTATAATTTTTTTGGATATTGGATATTAGATATCCCAAATATTGAATCGGATTCGGATTCCTAGTTTTGGATATCGAATAATTGATCCAAATAAAATCATATAAAATTATAGAGTATATAGATTATAGAGTATAATAATTGATTAAATTGAATGAAGCGACGATAATCCTTGCACCGACAACCATCAACCAAATTCCTAACCAAAGGACCATACTACTCTACAACACATTCCACAAACCCTACCATGCACCTCACCACCAACAGCTGCCACGTCACTCACAGCCATTCATAAGATTCCATCAGTTACGTGGCAACACCTGATTCCATTACCCAAAAAGGAAATAAAGCGCAAATTCTCTCTCCAAGGATATTTGCGTGAAATTTGGGTTTATTTTTTGTCTTAACAAAAAAAAAAAAAAAAGGGTTGAAATTTACACAGCACCCACTTTTTGACTCACCATCACTTTCTTTGTCCAATTCTGCTCTATGAATTTTCTTCACTAAGATCTCTCATTTCATAAAATTTGATGAAATAATTGTATAAATCAAAATAAACCCAATATTTTTTTATTTCTTGATTTTTTAGGAGTCATAGAAGAAAAAATGAAAATGGGTATTATTGAAGAAAATGGGATGGAAAATATAGGATTGAAAAATATAAAGAATAAATACAGAAGAATGGATTCAGATTTGAGTGTGATTTCAGAAAATGAGGCACATATTTTGAGGAAAAGGAGTACCAGGAAATTTGTAATGGCTTCTGCTGTTTTTGCTTCTCTCAATTCTGTTCTACTTGGTTATGGTAATTTTTATTTTCCCTCTTAATTTTTTTTATCCCAATTTGGTTAGCATTAAAATCTTGCATTTATATTTGTTTGGTGCAAATATTTTTATTTGTGTTGTTGGTGCACATTCATTTTATATTTATGAATCTGATTTTATGTGCACTTAGAACAATGAAGTGTTCAAAAAGTTAAACTAAATGCTGAAATAAAAAAATATTATTTGTTGGTTCTTACCACTTTGGGTTGTACATGTACATTCATATATTTTTATTTATTTATTTATTTATTTTTAATGTTGAATTAAAAATGTTGTATACTGTAAGTACATATCGCTAATTGTAAATGTTTTGTGGGGTAAAAAAAGGTAATAGAGAGAATTTAGCCATGTAGTGTATTGAACTTTTCATCAATTAGACATATTTTAGAGAGTTATGTGATATTGATATTTTGATTTTTAATGTATCACATTAATCTGATGTACTCGTGTACGATAATTATGCTTAAGACGGAGTATACAACAAAAATAATGGTATGGAGTGATGTACAGTGTACACGACCCTTGATTTGTCTTGCGCGCTGCTAAATGCAAAACATTGTTTTTTTGGATGGCAAGGGAATTGCCCTACCGCTCTGGAATCTTGCACGGGTCAACTCTAGGGAGTGATGAGCAAGGTGAGGGCAATTCCCACCCCCAAAATGTCTCTAAGGTTTGATCCCACAACTTCATGATATGAGAGTTTGAGACACAAAACTTTACCACTAGACCTTGTGTATGAGGATTTGTGCACTCGTCATTTACAATGTCATGATATAGATACATTGTTTCATACTCCGTGACTTTTTGCTTCAAGTGAATACCAAAAATGAAGTATGAGTACTTGTTGTAGATGTGTATTTTCTTGTAAATGCTAGTATGCTACTTTCAAGTGGACATAGTATGGAGTCTATTTTTATGTAGAAATAGTTTAAACAGCGCGATCAATTTATCTAACACGGTATTGATCTCTACTTGCAGTAAGTAAGAGTTGAGGGGAGTGAATAAAGTAAAGACATTGCATCTTTTCACATGGTATCAATTTAATTTCACAACTGTTTGGTATCTAATCTGACTCTTGATGCGTACAATTGGGTGAAAATGTATGTACATAAGAGCTGTTAAAGACGATTTCAGCACTACTACTTAACTACAGTAAGAACTGGTGCAATTTTAACTGTTGTTTTTTTGTCATGCTTCGTCTAGAAGTGATCAAGTGAAGTTAATGTTTGCAAATTTTTGTTTCAGATGTTGGGGTGATGAGTGGGGCAGTTATATTTATTCAAGAGGACTTGAAAATATCAGATGTGCAAATTGAAGTCCTCATCGGAATCCTAAGCATAATTTCGTTATTAGGCAGTTTAGCAGGTGGAAAAACGTCTGACACAATAGGTAGGAAATGGACAATGGCATTAGCTGCCACAATATTCCAAGTAGGAGCTGGTATAATGGCATTAGCACCAAATTTCGGGGTGTTACTCGCAGGAAGGCTTTTTGCTGGAGTAGGAATTGGCTTTGGTGTCATGATAGCTCCTGTCTACATTGCTGAGATAGCACCAGCAATCGCTAGAGGATCATTAACATCCTTTCCTGAGATCTTCATAAACTTCGGAATTCTTTTGGGTTACATTTCTAATTATGTATTTTCAGGGCTTCCTGCTCATATAAACTGGAGAATAATGCTTGGTGTTGGGATTCTCCCTTCCATTTTCATTGGTGGTGCACTCTTAATCATACCTGAATCTCCTAGATGTCTGGTAATGCAAAATCATATTGATGAAGCAAAGGTTGTTCTTCAGAAAACTATAGATAACGAAAAAGAAGTTGAGGAGAAATTAGCTGATATACAGCAAGCTGCAGGAACCACCAATGCTGACAAGTATGAAACAAAAGCAGTTTGGCAGGAACTCTTACATCCAACTCCAGCTGTTAGGAAGATGTTAATTGCAGGGTGTGGAATTCAGATATTCCAGCAGATAACGGGTATTGACACTGTTGTATATTACAGCCCTACAATATTCAAAGATGCTGGAATTAGTAGCAACACTGAGCTTCTTGCTGCAACAATGGCAGTTGGATTTACAAAAACTTTCTCTATCTTAATCGCTATCTTTCTCATTGATCATCTAGGTAGAAAGCCTTTGCTTTATGTGAGCACAGTTGGAATGACTGTTTGTTTGATAGGGCTCAGCCTAAGCTTAGCCTTACTCGGGCATGAGCCAATTGGTATTAGATTGGCTTTGTTGTTTGTTTGTGGAAATGTGGCCTTCTTTTCTGTGGGAATTGGTCCAATTTGCTGGGTTTTGAGTTCAGAAATTTTCCCTCTTAGGCTTCGAGCTCAGGCATCAGGTCTTGGGGCTGTTGGAAGTAGGCTCAGCAGTGGCCTAATCTCGATGTCCTTCCTTTCAGCTGCCCATGCAATCACCGTGGCTGGAACCTTCTTTGTATTTGCTGTAATCTCAGCCTTGTCTATTGTATTTGTGTACAAGTGTGTGCCTGAAACCAGAGGGAAATCTCTGGAAGAGATCGAGGTGATGTTTGATGAAGATAAACACCCAGGATCAGGTGAAATGGAGCTTGCAGATACCGCGAGTCTTGTGCCAAAGGAACCAAATGGAGCATAGTTCATTGCTTCGTTCTCATCACCATGGGTCCAATGAGACTTCATAGACGAGCATTTACTTGCAGGGACCAGGGACTACAGAGTGTGTATAGCACAGGATGATAAGCATTGGGGATATTTTTTTTTTCGAGTTTGGCATCGACTCATGATACGCCTAAAAGATTGTTTGGTACGAGTCTAAGCAGGTTATACAAGTATTCTTTTCGAATGATAAGAAAACAGTAGTTTGCGCTGCAGCTGCAGAGCCTGCAGTATGTTGAGAACGATAGGGGGGGGGGGGGTGTGTAGGAGTTGCTTCATCAAATGTGAGTGTAATGTAAGTTGCTTTGATGTGGATTCCCCCAAGATTATTAGAGGATTGGTTTCATGTACGTATGGCACATTCTTTTTATGATATGTTATAAATCCTACATTTTTTCCTACAATTTGAAGCTCAAATCAAAGATCCGATTTGTACTAAATGTGACAATAGATGTCACAAAATTTGCGAAAGAATGTGAAATTTGAACTCCTAAAGTCTTACTACATACTATTTGGTATGTACAATCACACAGATGTAGGAGCTTCTTTTTAGTATCAAGAAAAACACAACTCAGGAGTTTACAATTACATATGTTACAGTAAGTTTCAACCAATAGTTTCCATGAATCTCAAAAAGAAGACCATGTTCCAACCTCTCATACCTAATGTTGTTAATAAATTATATTAGAGAGGTAGAAAAATTAATTGTACTACAATAATTCATATACGAAGTACTCGTATAGTCGTATATGTCAGTGATAAAGGCATCAAAATATTGAAGTTAAAAGTTGGTGAATCGCACAGGGCATACACTGGTTGCCTAGCTGGTCTAGCTAGTTCTTAGTTATAAGGTTGGGAGTCAAATATTGACATGTATATATCTACATTTACTCGTTTAGGAGTAGTTTATGTGTATGTTAGAGTTTTAACAAAAAAGAAGTCGTGTTCCGTAAATCTCAAAAGAAGACATACTCCAACCTCTTACCCCATGTTTATGAAATACTCCCTTTGTCCCCTTTTATTTTCACTATAGGCCCACTTTATATAAGAGGTTTATGAGTCATATGGTGCAATGTACTGCAAACATAAAGGGACAGAGAGAGTAAGATAGAGAGATTGAAAAATTAACCAAAATTTCCAATCCATATACTGATATACATATATGGAGCACATGTATGTTTGGGAAGAAAGATCTCAAAACAATAAACTTAAAATAAAATTTTCTAAATGCAAAAGCATTGACTCTTCAAAAGCTATAAAATGGACTTCTTACCTCTTAGTTCAAACATTTAATAATCGTTGTTGAAGGACCAACTCATCCAAAAACTTAAACTAATGGTTTAGGCTCAGAAATATGTTTTATACTCTATTACGTTCTCTCACACGAGTACCCGTTGGGTTTGAAGTGTGGATGCAACATGGGTTCTCCTCATAACCTTTGCTTAATATTCTACTTAAAAAGGGAGGAGTGGATGAGATTCGAACCCGTGACTTTCGTGTCACGCTGACTCCATGTTGAAGGACCAAGTTAACCAAAAGAATAAGTTAATGATCAGGGTCGTCATAGGGAATTTGGGACCATGTGCTATTTATACAAATCAAACTCAGATCAAAGTTATATGCACAAATTAGTTAATTAAAAAAATACACTATTTATAGCATCGGCCTAAAGAATAAAAAAATTATTTTATTCAAAAATTGACATTTTAGTCCAAAAAATTCACTCTTGCAGTTGTGCTTTCTACATAAAATTAAAAATAAAAAATAAAATAAATAAATAAATAAAAATCACAAATCCACACTTCAATCTTCAACAAGAGAAAAAGGAGAGCTTAAACTTTCTTCAACAAAACCAAATAACACGTACAAATTAAAATACGCTAAATAACAAGTAAATAAGATTTAGTGAAGAATTATTCAAAACTAGGAATAGCAATGGGGCGGGTCGGATGCGGAGGATGGTACCTCCACACCCATACCCGCCTAAAAATCTTATACCCATCCTTGTCCCCACCACCCATGGCGGGTACAATATTCACATCCATACCCGCCCCGTCGAGTACAAGTTAATATCCATCCCCGCCCCACCATCCATCTGGATATCCATACCCGCCCCATACCCGCTACCATAATGACATTATATGACAATAATATGAAGAATTATCATTTCTAATAAACCTCTTTTTTCATCCACTTGGCGAAATTCATATACGACGTTAATGTTATTAATAAAATATTTTATGCTTATTATTATATTATTATAGTCTAGATTCTAAGCTCTTCCAAGCTTGTTTCAACCTTTACAAAAATTAGTATAAGGCGGGTATGAGGCAGGTGATGGGGCGGGGCGGGGCGGGTTTACTCTAAAATCCATACCCGCCCCACCACCCATGGCAGGTACAATTTTTATACCCATCCCCGCCCCATCACCCGCCAAACCTCCCTCCATCCCCGCCTCACTGCCATCCCTATTCAAAACCGCTAAATACAGTACGAAGTATGAGGTAGTTAGAGTGTTTACTAGAGGGGAGTACAAAATTTTACCTACACCCCTATGTAGGTAGCTCTGCCTGCACCCCTTTTCCATCATAATGACATCATCTTTTAATTAATCGGGTTTTGAATCACATATAAAATGTTCATTTATATACATATAAATGTTCAATTTTGTATCATTAAATGTTCAATCTTGTTAATACGACGTGTTATATTCAAATTAGTATTATTTTTTTCCATTTTTATTTTTAGACAGTTTTTCTATTGATTTGTCTTATTATTTAGTTAAATTAATAGGCTTAGTTTGAAAAAATATCTTTCAAGGTAGAAAAAAATAAATTCAATTACAATTATAATATCATTTTAAATTAATACATACTCATTGTTTCTTAAGCATAAAAAGGAAATCTCTTAAGTTTTCAAATGTACAAATGCTTAATTTTATTAACAATAAAAAAAATTGCAAATCTTAATAAACTTCAAAAATATACATATCATATATATGTGCCTTACAAAACGATTATTGTCTTTTAATTTAATACATTTGGTATAAATAAAGAGTATATAGGATCATTGTCCTTGTCATACGGTCGTACCCCTTCTACTCTTATGATGTTTATTCATTTTCCTTTATACATATCTTTTTCTTAATATATACATAATCATTTTCAACTTTTTTTTTTACTTCATTATCCTGTGTAATGAGAGATCAAAATATTTTAAAGGAAAGTGTTAGTAACAATCATAATACACTACAAACAAAACAAAATAATTAAATAAACATTTACAAAACAAATTTGAACACATTACCATAAAATGAACATAGTGCAATATGAGAATGAACAAGTAGTAAAATCTATATGAACATCTTTCAACATATAAATGAACATATACCAAAAGTCAAATGAACATCTTCAATACGAGAATGAACAAATATAAAAATTTATTTGAGCATTTTTTTGATATAATAACAAACAAGTATTAAAAATTGAAATAGATATCTTTTAATATGAGAATGAGCCAATATAAACTAAATGAATATGTTTAGATATAAAAATAAATATTGTATTAGATTGCAAATGAATATATTTCAATATGAGAATGAACATGTACTGCAAAGGGAATGAAAATGTATCAAATTTAAATGAGCATAAGTTAAATTTTTTTTTTCTTAGATTTTTATTAACTAATTGTTACATATACTTCATGATCATTATTAAAAACGAACATTTAGTTATCTTAAATTGAACATCGAATATATATTGAATATAAACAGATTTTATTTTATTTATTTGTGCACTTATGTACACTAACATGTGTGAATTAGTCTTAAATAAATTTAATATATAGGGCATTGCATATAATTTACAAATGAGAATTATATAAATATGTAAATTTGATGAAGATGACAATAATATGAACATTTATCAGAAATCTAATGCTCGTTGATTGATATGCGAATGACCATTTACTAATACGTTAATGGGCATCTATCAAAACGAAATTGAACATTTTTCAAAAAATATTTTTCACAGTAAACTAAATTTACATCTCAAAAATCTGACGAAATAGATCAAACTATCCAGAAAATTGGGACAGTTAACCCCTCTGTTTTCAATTTTTTATGTCTAATAATTTTATAATATAACAACACACCATAAACTAATTCAACACAAGAGTACATTAAACATTGATATAATTCAACCAATATATTAAGATTTCCTGCTAAGATTTGACAATTAATTTGGGGAAAAATTAAAGTAATCAAATCATCATTTAAAAATTATATCAAATTGTTGAAATGAATAAAAGAGATAAAAGTTAATACCTTATGAATGAATTTACGTAAACAATAAAGCTCCGGTAAGAGGTGACATGAATAGATGATGATTAAACTTCTATGATGGAAAATATGAAGGTTTTTAGAGAGTAAAAATTGAATATCAAGGTTTTTGGAGAGAGAAAATGGAGATGGTGAAATTTTTTGGAGAGAGAAAATGAAGGATGAATATGTTTAGAGAGAGAAACCATAGAATCAAGCTTTAATTTTTAGAAGATAACAATTGTGATTTTTTTTTTTTTTTTGAAGACTTTATTTGGGAGAGAGGTAAATGGATGGGGGTGTAGGTATATTTTACCTACAGTATTAATAATATGGAGGGGAGAAAGATAAATTAATCAATAAATGGGCTTATCCTATGTTAATTATAATAAATGACAGTCTTGCTGATTAGAAGAGAAAGAAGATGACTTATTGAAATTTTCGAGGATATAATATGCATTCACGATACCTAGTGAGAGAGAAGTCGATTAGCTTTAATAAATGAGTAAATGACAGCTTTGCTCAGTTTTTGTCTCAATTGGGTTTTGATTAAAGTAAATTTCGGATTTTTAGGCCCTCAAAAATGTGGGATCTTCGCACACCCTCTTTAACGGACCTGCTAATGGTTGAAGTCTAAAAATATATTTTATACTCTATCAATCATAACTTTAAAAGTGACCACCTTTGTATCATCAACTCAATTAAATAACAATACGGAGTATCATTCATTATTTTAGAGAGACAAATTGGTTTAGAGAGGCAAATTAAGCAGCATACTTCATTCACAGTAAACTGTGGCTACATCTCACCAACCACGCATTTATTTTGTTTTGTTTTTTGTTTTCTTGCATCATTGTGATGTACTCTTTCTTAACATTCGAATTATATATTTGCCTTATCTTCATAAAGCAACTAAATATACGTTTTATTATCGTCATGGGTGGACTGCTAACAAGATTATATTCCTAAGTTTTGGATTATATTTCAATAATATATGCCCACGTCTCCATCAAATTACTCCATGAATACATGCCTTTAATTAAAAATGGGTACATTGTAATAAGACGTTACTTTTAATTGAAATTAAGTAATAGTATAATTATTTAAAGAGGAAATGAGCTGCCCAAAGGCCAAAAGCCCAAAACCATACCATGCAACTGCACGACCTTTTTTCCACACACAACGTTAATAACTACTATTGTACTACTTAGTTGTTTTCTTCTTTGTTAAATCTCAAAATTCTTGTGTTTTACCTAGTGGAACTTATTCATTCAACGGATGCATCATCATATTTATATGACCATATGCTTGCATTTCATCACCAAAATAGTTTTATTGTAATTATTTAATTTATCTGCAATAATCAACATCAAAAATAAATAAAATAAGGAATATATGATACCTTGCCTATTCAAATTCGTTCTTTTTTTAAAACAAATAGTTTATGTTTTTGTTGTCACTTTTTTTGTGTGCTGATTTTGTAACTCGAATCCGAACCATAATCAATTGTAGCCCCATACAAATGGAGACCAAATTAAACGCAAATAAAACCTTGTCTTTCGAAGGAGTTCGAAAAACCTTGTCTTTCGAAGGAGATAAAAAAAAACCTTGTCTATCGAAGGAGATAAACCCTTTCTTTCAAGGAGAAATTATTATAACCTGAGAAACAAAAAGCTTAAAAGAAATAAAGATTAGGACTTTTCACCGGTGAAATCCAATGTAAGCCCCTTTAAAATTAACAATGGAGGCTAGAGTTTAGGAAAGAGAAGCGAGAAAAGAGAGGTGGATTGCTAAACATCGCCCGCAAATCTCCACATAAAGCCCACAAAATTAGAGTGAAATGACACTTTTGCCCTCAAAGTAAAAAACACAATTTCTTCTCTCTATTCTCTACTTCCACTTTCTCTCTCTAAAAAACTTTCCGAGCGATGTCGAGGCGGCCCGGCAAGGAAGTGGCGGCACCGGCGGCGGGTGGACAGCGGTTTTCCGGCGAGAAGGTATTTTTTATTAATTTTGTTTTTAAAAAATAAAAAAAAAAAGTTCGGAGGCGGTGGCGGCGCCAAGGCCAGACGCCACCACCACGGCGGAGGCGCCTAGGCCAGACGCCGTGACGGTGGCGGCGGCGCCTAGCCCAGACGCCACCACCACGGCACCAGCGTCTGGCCAATGCGCCGCCGCCGTGGTAGTGGCGTCTGGGCTAGGCGCCGCCGCCACCGTCACGGCGTCTGGGCTAGGCGCCTCGTTATATATTTTTTTTTTTTAATTTTTTTTTGGTTTTAAATTTGAAATTTTATTTTCGAAAATAATTTTTTTTTTTTGTTTTTTTTTTAAATTTGTTTTTCTTTTTTTTAATTTTAAATTTTATGTTTCTGATTTTTTTTTTATTTTGTTTTAAATTTTGTTGCTTTTTTTTAAATAAAATTTATGTTCCTCTTTTTTTTTTTTTTTTTAATTTTTAATTTTATGTTCTTGTTTATTGTTTTTGTTTTTTTTTTTTTGAATTTGTTTTTTTACTTAAAAAAAATTTTATGTTCCCTTTTTTTTTTATAAATTTTTTTTAAAATTTTGATGTTCTTCTTTTTTTAAGTTTTTATAATTTTATATTTTTTAAGTTTTGTGAGTTTTTTGTTTTGGTTTAAAAGATGTATTAAAAAAACTTTATTAAAAAAATTTAATTCAAAAAAAAATTAAAACAAAATTAAACAAACGCAAACAAAAATCCATAAAAAAAACATAATTATAAAAAACAAATCAAAAAAAAAACAAAAACAAACAAATAAACAAAAAAAAAAATTCAAAACAAAAAAAAAGAAAAAAAAAAGAGAAATTAAATTAAAAAAAAAAAAATTTTAAAGCAGCCCATAGTGGCGCCTGGCCAGGACGCCGGAGCCACGGTGGGGGCGCCTGGCTAGGACGCCGCCGCCATGGTGGCGGCGTCCTGGCCAGGCGCCCCGGCCGTGGCTCCGGCGTCCTGGCCACGCGCCACTCCCATGGGTGAGGCTTCCCCACCAGGCGCCTATGCCACGGTGGCGGCGTCCTGGCTAGGCGCCACAACCACGGCATGGCCTTCTCGGCTAGGCGCCAGCCACCATTTCGTCCTTACGATACGTTACGAACCTCGTTTTCCGGCGACGATGGCGACTCTCCGGTGCATATCGCCGCCGACGACGTCTCTTCGGTGATCCACATTTTTTTAGTGCGAAAAATTTGTTTTCGGTTAAAATTATAAAAAGGGCAAATTTGTCAAAAAATTATAAAATGCGGGCTTTATGTAGTAATTTGTGGGCGATGTTTAACAAATCCCAAAGAGAGAGGAGGCTAGGGTTGTTGTCACTTTTTAAAATCAACATGATTATCATAGGTGTGACCAATTTTAAAATTTATCATTTAATATTATTATCATATACATCATTTTATGTTACTTCTAATACAATACTTTCAAAATAACCGAGATAAAAATTTAATGTCATAAACCAATACTTCGTATCTTACATTATTCTTAATTTTACTATGCCTTTGTCCTCTTCAAATTATTTAGAGAAGCTTTTTCGTGAGACCGAACTCACCGTGAGTTCAATATATCTGACAATAATATTTTAATATATGACATTAATAATCTAATATCTGACATTAATAATCAAATAATCTAATGTCAGATATTAAATTATTGGAAAAATAGAAACTAATAATCCCACCTTTGCCGATCTGCTTAAAACAATCCTACCTTTTCGAAATCTGGAAACAATCTCACCTTTAACTCCCATATTCTCAAAATAAGCCTTTTGACCTACAACCTGATAAACAGGTTAATTTTTATTTATTTTAACTCTCTTCTTCAAGCTTAAGTCTCCCTTCTCCAAGCTCCTTCCATGGCCACCACCGCACAAGCCTCCCCCGACCACCTTGAAATCCCTTAACCCCTGAATCCGACCACCCCTTACCCGAAAACCCCCTAACCCCTAAATTCGACCACCCCTTACCCGAAATCCGACCACCGCAGTCACACCAAAACCCCTCCCCCCCCCCAAAAAAACCCCTTGATATGAGCCCTTTTTATCAAATTTAATTGTTTTTTTTCTTGGATTTTATTTTATTAATTAATCTAATGCTTTTAACTTGACTCAATTCTTCATAATTCTTGCATTTTTTTTTTTTTTTTGGAGATGTTGAACAGGAGCAGACTTCAACATTTGGTGCGATTTCAAGACTAGAAGATGGAAAATGCATGAAATTTGAACATTACTAAAAAAAAAAAAAAATTGATTTTGTAAGGTGAATAAAAGTGAATTGAATTTGATGAGTATGAATAAGATTATTTCATCCTGGGTTCAATTTGGTTTGTGATTATCGAACTCGATATTGAATTTCATGCTTTAGTACAGTGTTCAGTTCTGATAATTGATTATAATGTTCGCCGGCGTGGGGCCGTTGTTCGCCTGGGAGGGGGGGTTGTTGTTCGCGAGGTGGGTGATGTTGGGTGGTTGGGATTCAGGGAGAAGGAGGCTGATTCTTTTTTGAAAAAAATATATATTTTTGCTTTGTTTTTTTTTTAATTAAAAAAATTAAAATTGGACCAATTAGAAGGTGCCACGTGGCAAGTCACCTTCTAAAACAAGTTATCAATTTCACAAACCGGTAAAAGGCCAATTGGGAATATGGGGGTTAAAGGTGAGATTGTTTTCAAATTTCGAAAAGGTGAGATTATTTTGAGCAGAAATGACAAATGTGGGATTATTAGTTTCCATTTTTCCTAGATTATTAATGTCAAATATTAGATTATTAATGTCAGATATTAGAATATTAATTTCATATATTAGAATATTATTGTCAAATATTATATTATCATGGTTAGATATATTAGACTCACCGTGACTTCAACTCGCCCAATTTTTTCCGAATTGTTTAAGGTGTTTTGATTTGAATTTTTTAAGTTCTAGTATGACTTGGCCTGGTTTGATTTGTTATATCGTCTAGCTAGATTTGAATAATCTTGGCCGCCTAATTTGGTCAACTTTTGTTTGATTTTTTAACTTTGACTAGACTAATTATCTTTATAATATTGTTGTCTTATTTGATCTAATATGATTTAAACAAGAATAGGGTGAAGAATATAAACTATGTCATACTACTTTTTGTTTTATGATAATTTTAC